CCATGCCACAGACTCTTCTAGTCCCTCTGCCCAGAACAGCCTTCCCTGCTTTCGAATTTGGTGATTCATATTTCTCAAGCTTTGGTTTAGGCTTTATGTGTTCCAGAAAGCCAACAGCCATCCATCCCCAGGCTAGGTTTCATGCACACCACCCACAAGGGTTCCCACAGTACTCTATTGTGACTTTTTCTCAAGATACTGAAGTGATCAGTTCATATGTCTGTGTCTAAGAATAGGCTCTAAGTTCTCCCAGAAGGCAAGGGCTCTGTCTCCTCTCAGTTCCTAGAGCCTAGTACAACATCTGGCCTATGGAGAGTCCTCAAACATCTTTGAATTGACATTCCGCAAGGCTCATCCTTGGTTATCATCTCTGTCAATCAATGCTTACTTGCTTCGTGACCTCGAAGCAAGGGCTTGTGGCTTTAATGTCATCTATATGAAAGTACTCCCAAAGTTTTCTCCTTAGCTCAGGCTTCTTTCCCAAATTCCAGACTCGTATGTCCAATTACCTACTTTCCATCTTCACTAACATGTCTAATGGACATCTCAAACTCAGTTCAAAATTGAACTCCTGATTGTTCCATTGGCCCTGAGTCTGTTCTCCCTGCAGCTTCCCTATATCTGGTAGTGGCAACTCCATCCTCCCAGTGGTTCAAGTAATAGCCCCGGAGTCACCCTTGAATCCTCTCTCTCTCTTTCACACACCATGCTAATGCATTAGGAAACCCTGTTGGTTTTGTCTGGAAGCCTCTCTCTCTCTCTCACACACCATGCTAATGCATTAGGAAACCCTGTTGGTTCTGTCTGGAAGCTATGTTCAGAATCCAACCATTTCTCACCACCTCCACTGCCACACCTTGGTGGTGTCACCATTGCCTCTTGCCTGGGTTACTGCCATGGCTTCTTAACTGGTCTCCCTGCTTTGACTCTTGCCTACTTATGTCTCTTCTCAACACAGTAGCTGGAATGAACATTTCAAAGTAATGTGAAATAGTTATTTGTTTTCTCAAACCTCTGCAGTGGCTTTCCATTTCATTCAGAGTAAAAGCCAAAGTCCTTAAAATGGCTTAGGAGGCACTACATGGTCAGATTCCCCCTTTATTTCTCCAATGTCATCTTTTATTACTTTTACTCCTTGTTCACTCTACTCATACCACCTTTGACCTCCTCGTGCTCCCTTGATCTGGACCTTTCTGCCTCTAGATTTCTTCCACCATGTATCTGATCAAAACTTTTCTTTTAATTAAGGACTACCTTTCTACCCTATTTAATACTGGAACCCTGTTTACTCTACATCCCTGGAATATACTATCTCCCTTCCTTGCTCTATCCTTTCTTTTTCCATGGTACTTGTGGCAGTGTGTATCATCCAAAGATTGTATTGTCCAGTATTTCCTGTTCTGCATTCTCTTGTAGAATCTTGCAATTGCCCCTCCATCTATCAAGAGAGGGAGTTTAATTCCCCTTCCCTAGAATATAGGCAGTTATTACTTGCTTATAACCAATACAATGAGGTAGTAGCGATGCTGTGTGATGCCCGAGTCTAGGTCACAAAGGATGATGTACTTTCTACTGTTAGCTAAGAGGCTCACCTTTGGACCTATGAGCTACTATGTATGAAGTCCAGCATCATCAGGCTCCCGTACTGTGAGGAAGTCCAGGCCACCTGAAGAGGCCGTGTGTAGGTGTTCCAGATGACAATCCTAGCTGAGACCCCAGGGGACAGCCTGCAGCAATCACTAGATATGAAAGCGAAGACACTTTCTGATGATTACAGCCCCAGCCTTAGAGGCTTCCACGTCAAGGTTTCCACACATCAAGGAGCAGAGGCAGACTCTGTTGTGCTATGTCCAAATTTCTGACCCACAGAATCAGTGAGCACAGTAAATTGGTTGTTTCACGTCATTAAGATTTGGGATAGTGTGTAGCACAGCAAATAGTATGTTTCACTGTTGAACATATTATTTACTAACATATTAAGTGAATTGTTGTGAAATGACTTGTCTTTTTTGTCTGAATTCTCAATTATAATTATTTTTGTTTTATAGTTACACTATTCACAAGCCATTTCCCCTTATTTGTGAGGCATCAAGAAAGGTGAAACTAGCCTTTCACATCAATATGCATTTGTAAGACATTTCTCTGTCCTCTTGTTGAAAAACTAGAGAATATTACTGAAGTGTCAAAGGTACACACACTTCATCTGTTCCAACATTAGCTCAGGTCTAGATTGAAGAGCAGTAAATGTCTTCTCCAAGGCTTTTAATAAAATAACTTGTTTTTAAGTTTGTAATTGATTTCTTGTTTCTCTTGCTAGAACACAAGTTTCATGAGGGAATGAATCTTTGTCCAATTTGTTCAATTCTGTATCCAAATATGTAGAACGCTCCTTGGGAATGGTAAATACTCAGTGAATATTTATTGAACAAATTTATGTGACTGTACAGCTGAACTGAATTTTAGAAGACACAGTTTGCTATAGCTGAGAGGTCCCTTATATGTCAACTTGTCAAACCCACCCATGTGTATGAAAAAAGCTGAGCAGGAGTCATAGGCAAGAAAGAGCACAAAACATGTTGGTTTAAGAGTAGGAGTGGAGGCTCAGGATCCTTGTGATTACAACAGGGCATGGTCTTCAAGCAAACCTGTGGCTCGTAGGCCCACTATGTAGATTCCAGACATCATGGGTGCTTTGATGATCAAAGCCATATCCACCTAATGTCTAGGAAAGAGGACTGGCAGATTGTGGGAAGATTCCCATTAAATAAGGCTGCTTCCCACTTAACCTCCTGCTAATCAGAAAATGTGTTAACTGGAAGCTAAACATTAAAGTTAACTGGTTAATATAATTTGAACGAAGTGAAGGCAGGACTAGTCCACTAAGTGATATTTCCGTTTGGGGTCTAAATGATGGAGCAAAATGTATTGTTATATTATAAAAACACATCATTTCCACTCCAGAAAGTTTGGGAAATGTAAAAAGGCAGAAAAATAAATAAAAAAAAAATCAATCCAAATCATACCACACAGGGAGGTACTTTCCAAAAAGATATTACCCTGGAAGGAAACGCACTAAAGTAGTCAAATGTATTTGTTTTTTTGTTTTCAAATTTTAGACCTCAGTTTCTTAGAACAGTGTTTCTCAGTCTTTGACTATTTCTTCCCCTTTCTGATCCCCAGTCTCCCTTCATGCTATTGGAACCTTAAATGAAATAGTATGACTAATGACTTATAAACCATCATGACATTGAATATGCCTTTACCAACAGCACACTGTCTCCTGTCATTCACTCACCAAAGATATGTACACAGGTGTGTATAAGCACATACCCATGTACGCCTCCACACTTTCAGGGACTGGGACCATTCAACAAACCCCCTAGGAAGTAAGGCCCAGGGATGAGCAGTGATGAGACCATTTCCTCCAAATATCACCCTGATTTCCTCCCCAAATTTGTGGATTGAGGATATGAAAAAATGCTATTTTACTGGGATCATATTTGAAATTAAGCGCAAGTTCTCCTGAGCTGGTAATTACTCACATCCATGGACATAAACGTTTTTGTTCTCATAAATGTGTCAAACATGCCCCTTGCCACCGTGTTTTATACTCTCGTAAAATTTTAGGACCAGAGAGGTCCTTAGACATCACCTTATCCAAACTCTCCATTCAACTAATAAAGAATTTAAAACTCAGGTAGCAAAATGATATGTTAATATCACACAGTTTATTGTACTGGAATCTGGCTGTCTGGACTCAGCAGCCTGCCCCTCCCCCCAAGTTTAGCACAATTTCATGAGCTCACATAGCTTCTGAAATACTGCTTTGTAAGCTCTTTCTCAGAATATAGTCTGAGAGATAAACTTAGTCTGCACTATCAAGAATTCCAAATATGTAGAGTCTTAGTCAATGCGTTTGCACTGCATACAGTGTTACCGACCCTAGCATATTTGGGGAACATGGTGCATGTGAAAAAAAAAACCTACAAAAACTAGTACACATAACTCAGAGCCTGGCACACAGTAGACGCTCGAAAGATATTTTGGGAAGGAAGGAGGAGAGGGAGAGAGAGAGAGAGAGGAAAGGAAAAGTAAAGAAAGAAATGTTGTTTTCAAAGCTGGCTGCACAAGGAGGCTTGCAAAATTCTTCCTGGGGAGTGAGGTGGTGCTCTTTAGTTCAGGAAAACATCTTAATGAATTTTTCCTTCTATTTTATTTTCTTCTTTGTAAAAGGTGAGGCCTGAGGGGCAAGGTCTGAAGCAAAAGGAGGGAGACAGAGAAAGCTAAACTGTTTTGCATAAACAAATGAGTGTGGGGGGAGCATGGGAATTCTTTTCCTGGATGCTGGGAAAAATTGAAAAAAAAAAAGGAAAAATTTGAGGATACTACAAAGAACTTTGGGGACAGAGTGGACAGAGACCTGTCAGGAGGCCGGAACCTCAGAAGGACTTTTATTCAGGCACTTCCTGTACTTTGCTGCAATCCTTCTGTTATTCCCCAAACCTCAGTAACAGCCACTATTCACAAGTCCTCTGCACTGGAGTTGCCTTGGGGAGGGAGAGAAGGGATGTCCAAAGCCAGGGTGAGGAGAAGGTACAAAGAGAGAGAAGCAAATACCAGAGGTGAAAGTGACTCAGGCGGTAGGTGTTGAGAACACAGCAGAAGCAAGGTAATGGGCCCAGAGGGGACTACGAGCAAGCAAGTCTCCTGGAAATCACTGGCAGGAGAGACTGGCTGCCTTTTTTGTTTTTGTTTTTGTTTTTGTTTTTTTACAACAGGTGGGATATGGGACTTGATCCTTTCCATCTTCCTATTGAAGGAAGGCAGGAATCCAAACTGATTCAGTAGGTCTGAGTGGGGACTGGTATGGTGCCTTTCCAACACACTCCCAAGCGATGCTGTTGTTGCTGGCCTGGGAACCATCCTTTGAGTCGCAAGGATTCAGCACCCATGAAGCCTTTGTGCCCATCAGGAAGTTTCTCCACAGGGTGGTCTCTTACCTCATATTCCTCCTTGAACCCATAGCCCTGGCCTCTCTTCATCTGGGTGATGTGCTGCAGCAGGTCCGCCACCCGGATGGCAGGCTGGAACTGGTCCCGGGGATAGCTCATCTCCACAGGGTCGCAGGCCCGGTAGGGGTGAGTCTGGATCGTGAGGGTGGGCTGGGACAGCTCCCCACGGCTGCCATCTGCTTCAAAGAGAAGGGGGCAAAGCACATATCACCTATGAGAGTTTTGTCCTCTGTCCTCTCCACCACCCCCCAGGGCAGGGGAACTAACTCAGGACTCAAGTGATCAGGAAGCTGAGGACACTGCTTCCCTCGCATGGCTGTGGTGGCAGATTTAAAAATTAAAACAACAAACGAACCAATGAACACAATAACCCTGGGTTTGTTTCTATTTCAAGGGTGCTTATCGATGGAGCAGTGACCAAGTTCCAGGTTGGCTGCCATCCTCTGCCTGTCTCAGTCCTTCCTCCAGGCTTGAGAGGGTGGTCTTGGCCAATTAGGGCCGATCTCAGAGCCAGTGAGAAGCCAGACAGCAGTTTAGGAAATAGGATGCCTGGAAATCATCTCTGGTGCCTGCTTGCAAGTGAGGAGAGCCCAAGTCTCTGGAAACCAGAGCCATGTGTCTGCTCCTGCTCCATCTGCCTACATCCTTGGGAGGAACTGAAGTCAGTCTTGGACCCTGACCCCCTCAGCTGCTCTCTCCAGCTCTGGGCTCTGCAACGTGCTTGGCTTCTGTCTACTATCTAGTTTCCCCACCAGTTCACACTCTTGATCCAGGAGTGTCGCCGAACCTCTTCCTTCAGTCCTGCCAGCTACTTCTCCCAGGCCTGGGTCCTATGCCCCATCTCCTTTATCGAATCTCTCCTTGATATAAGATCTGTACTCTCCTTGATAATAATCTCTATACCCACTGAGTCACGCTGACTGCCCTCTGCTGGCTCACCGCACCCCCCCCCCCCCACTGGAAACTGATGCATGCCGGGGGGAGATTTGAATTCCTCTGTTCCCCTCGGGCCAGGACAGCCACATGCTTGCCCTACGGACTCCCTGCCAAGCATACATTGTTGATCTTTCAGGGCCAGTTCACAACCATCTAGGCTTGGTATCCTCAACCTCCTCCCAAAGTCATGGACTGTCTATGCCCCAGAGCCTCCAGTTGTGGCATGTATGAGATCAGAACTGCCATAGATGATGATCCTGGTGTTTTCAGGCACATTAAGGTACCCACACAGACCCCATTAAGCCTATGCCACAGTCACTCCCAGGGAGGCTTCAGTGTATATTCCTGACTTTCTGCAACTTGTCTTTTCAAAATCCGTGTTCCCTGTTTGTTGCTCATGTCATAATAATCCCTCAGACATTGCTTCTGTATGTGGAAGTGGAATCTCCTATGTGACAGCAAGAGCTAAACTGTTCCTAGTAAGGAAGGATTGCCAACAAAAAGACCTAGAGCGTACAGGCTTATGTACAAGGAAGAAGGGCCTACGTGAGATGTTAGCACAGCTTTCTGGACTGCACAGAAGAAAAATCCTGCTTCCTTTCCCTCCTGGGACTGTAGGTAACATGTAGTACATCTTCAACAGCATTGATTAAATGGAGAGCTTTGCAAATGTGGGGGCTGCTTTCACTCTCCAGCACACCCTTGTGATCAGGAGGCCGATTTACTGAGAATTCACTGTCAATGTGCCAGGGACTGTGGTAGGCACTGGCAATGCACACAACACAGACCACACCCTCCAGACTTGACAGTCCAGTATGGCAGACAGACAAGAAGAACCACCTGAAGCACAAGAACAGAAGCCGGGGAAGGGAACCACATTGAGGGAAGAGAAGGAGGCCGAGAAGGAGCGGAGGAGATGGGTGGGCACATGATGGGGGCAAAGCCCTCAGAGATGGTGTGAGGCAGGTCAAGAAGGCTGTGAACGTGTGAGAATCTCCCAGCCAGAGGGAAGCTGTTGAAAGGTTTTAAGAAGAATTCCTTTCTTTAAGGACACACTAGTTCTTGCAGGTGCCCCAGCTGTCACAGATAGGGGGCACCCTTCCGGCGAGTATCACTCCTGTGACCCTATGGTGGGGTTGGGAATGGAGAAGGGGCATTTCTGTTTACTTCTCTGGATGCTGCACTTCATGATGCCCAGGAAAGCATGGGCCAGAGTCAGTGCCTGGAGCCCTGTGAGTGTCTCCCACCTAAACTGCCATCACACATGGGGACAGGTGTCTTCAGAGATCCATGGTCTTTCAAAGGACCTGGGGCACGGACTGCCTGGAAGACGGACTGCCTGGCAGAGACAGGCTTCTTAGGAATGGGCACCTGGCAAATTTTGTGAGATGCCAAATGTTCCCCAAACCAATGTGGATATTTTCCCTAAACACAGTGCTAGACAGATTGTAAACTTGGTGTCAGCAAAACCAACACTGGAATGGAAAGTAAATGCATTTGAAATTTAACAACTTTGTATTGCTGTAACATTCGTAATAATGTCAACGCTAGTGCTAATGATGCTGTAAAGGCTCAGAACCAAGGGGCTTTCAAGGTTTATTAATTCAACTAGTTGGACTCCCTTCTCCAATGTATCTTACCTCACCTATTTCCTTATTAACCTCCGATAATGCAGAAGTGATGCCTTTTATCACAGCCCATTTCACCAGACGCACTATACTTAATTTTCCATCATTAGGTTTAATGAAAACCCAATTTCACAACTCACTTCTCTCAGGAACCTACAAGTAATGCTACGTTTTTATCAGCCCCAATTAAAAAGCGTTATGATGTTCCTATTCGAGTGGGAGCCTTAAAACTAACGTGCGATTCCGCGGCTAATTCAACAAGGGCACTGGAATTCACATGCTGCTCATAAAATGTAACTCAAACCAGCTGGCCCTGGGAGAGAACGCTGCTCATTTTTCTCCTCACCAGACCCTTGATTTTCATGCGATTTTGAATTCTCCTTAATGGGTTTTGCATGTTTATTTATCACATGATAATATTTTGGATTTCTTTTGCACTTTTTCTATAGCTGTTGCCTAAGCCTGTGAGTTCCCCTGCAACAACTTCTGTGGTTGCCTGTCAGGGGCTTTTGGGTAATGCATAGGAGATCCTGGGTCACCACAGTCCCTCTATTTCCTCTGTCCCTCTACTGGTTCTCCTTCCTTCTGGCCTTGACTTTTCTATTTTTTTATCCCCCTTATAGATCTCCCTGTAGCTCCAGACACATATTTCCAATTACTTGGTAGGAATTGCCACTCCGACTGGTTAACAAATATTTACTGAGTACCTATATTGTATAAAGCTTGGTGTTAGATACCACATACATACAGGAGGGTGGAGGAAAGTGTGTTCAGAGGGAGATAAGCATGCCACAGCCCTTGCAAGAGAGAAAAAGAGATAAGGTGTGTATAAACAAGTCTAACAAAGGTGGGAAGGGACAGGTGCCTGGGAGATGGGAGGGGGATGTGCTGTGGAGCTGGGCACTCCAGAAATGTTTTTCAAGCTATAGGCACTCACACCCCACCTCTGTGGTTTTTTGCTATAAGTATGTACAGCCTATATCGGCTCTGTCTGATAGAACCTCCCATGATGATGGAAATGGTCTATATCTGTGCTGTGCAATATGGCAGTCACTAACCACATGTAGTTCGTGAGTATGTGAAATGCAGCTAATGTGACCGAGGAACCGAAGTTTAAGTTCTGTTTAATTTTAATTAATTTCAGTTTAAATATCCACTTGGTGGCTTGTGGCTACTATATTGGGCAGCACAGATCTAGAGAAAAAGAAGAAGGGAAATGGAGAATACTTGAGTTACATAATAGGGCAAAGAGGTCCAAGGAAATGTAATGCAAGCCACATAAGTAATTTAAAATTTTCTTGTAGCAACATTAAATACGGCAAAGTGAATTAAGTTAAATTATTTTAAAAAATAAATTTTATTTGACTCAATTCACAAAATAATATTTCAACAGTCAGTATAAAATCATTAATGATATATTTTACACTCCTTATTTGTACTAGGGCTTTGAAATCCAATGTACAAAATTTTTCACTTGCTTCAGTTGTAAGCTTAAAATTTCTTTCAATGTTTATTTATTTTTGAGAGAGACACAGAGTGAGAGTGAGGAAGAAGCAGAGAGAGAAGGAGGCACAGAATCCAAAGCAGGCTCCAGGCTCTGAGCTGTCAGCACACAGCCTGATGTGGGGCTCAAATTCATGAACCACGAGATCATGACCTGAGCCAAAGTCGGACACTTAACTGACGGAACCACCCAGGTGCCCCGCTTCAGTGTAGTCTTATTTCACTTCAGACTAGCCATGTTTCCAGGGCTCAACAGCATAGGTGATTAGTGGGCAATGCAGGTGTACAGACTTACCCAGAGCCAAGTCAAGTTCTAAAGAGAGCTGATTTAGAGTTATAGTGAACTTCAGAGACAACTGATCTAGTGTAAGACAGCTCTAGCCCATGGATGCAACATGCCCATTTACTTTTGATGCTCACTACAACGTTTATATAACTTTTTAAGAAATGGCCTGACCATGTCCCATGAGAAGAGCAGGACCCTGAGAAATGCTGTGAGTCTGGGTCTCAGAATCAGAGAGAATGGGGTTCGTATTTTTAATCACCCAGTTATGGGCTCGATGATCTTGGCCAAGCGACTACAGTTTCAGAGCTCAGTATCTTCATCTATAATACAGGGAAGACAGGTGTTGTGAGGGTTCGATGAAATAATGCCTGCAAGTGCCTGGTTTCGGGTGAGCAGGGAAGAAACCATTGCTGTTCTGATGTTGTACAAGATGTGCTGTTTGGCACATGAGAATCACAGACTGGCGAGAGCATCTGGGGAGTCTTTTAGGGCTTCTCTCTTCTTTCCTTCAGGATACACTCCATGGCCATCTAAATATTTTACTCTATTCCTGCTGTTACTGTCCTAGTTTGAGTCCCCATGACAAGACTATTCCATCAGGTTCCCCAGGGGTCTTTCTGCCTTCACAGTTCTTTTTACACAGCTTTGATCAAGTCATTCTTCTGAGCAAAAGCCTCCACAGAGTCAAGACACAATTTCTTAACTAGCCAACCAAATTCCTATAGTTTCTATTTCTTATTTCATCTAAAATAATTCCTCTCAATCTGTGTACCCTTTAGGGCAGGAGAGCACAAAGAGTGGATGGGTAAGTATCTGGAGACTGCTT